TCAGATCTGTCCCTTCCCTCCCATCAAGTGTCCTCCGTGTCACTGTCAGAGTCAAAATCTCAAGTTTGCAGACTAGAGGGTCAGGCTTAATATTGTAATTCTTTTATATTTTAGAACGTGGAGGTTGTAATTTTTAGCTGATACCAAGTTCAGATATTTAGTGGATAATAAGGTCTTCAGTTATTTTTCTCTCACTTGGGTTTGATTTTGTTTTATGTTTTTCTTTTATGTAGATTCTTTGGGTTACAAAGCTGGTTCTCAGATTGAGAGTTGAATTTTGATACCTACCTTAATCATTGCATCAGTTTTGCTTTGTCTTGATTTGTGATCCAGAATCTTCTCAAGACATTTCTCTGCAGTGAAAACTTTACTGTGTACTCTTGCCAGTAAATCCAGTGTTCTATGCTGGTTTCAGCCCATCAACAACCAGTCTTATGGCTGGACCAGCCCTTGTGATCCTTATTATATAACTACAAGATGCAGCAGTAGCCATCAAGAAACTTTGAAAGAGAAAAAGGCTATTTCTTCTAAGTTCTGGCAATTCTGTGCAGTACCTGGGACCACACAGAGAGGTCTGGATGTGCAGGGGTGGGGGAGAGGGAACACATGAGCATGTGGGCCTAGGGTTTTGCAGTTATTGGGGGCGAACGTGGGGGCCTAGAGTCTCATAGTCTCACTCTTTATTGGTGATTTTAAAACATAAGAATGGGAACTTAAAACAGAAGAGAAAAAAACCAAGCCACCCAAATGGTCAGTTATTTAAATAAACCAAGATCTCTAAAACAGAGGAGCCTGGGATGCGGGTGGTCTGGTTTTTCCAGCCAGGCGGCCATCAGTGTGTTTATTGAGAGAGACATCTTTGAAGTGGATACCTCAGGCACCAGAGCTGGAGTCAAACACTGGCATTACAAAAAAAGGAAAACTGCCAGGGCTAACACTACAGTGATTGTGGAATCCAGGCTACTGTGGTTTTTTTTAAATGCTGAAAGATAATGCACTTATCTGGAAAGTGGCCCTCCATGCTCCCTCACTGTTCTGGCTGGGAGTTAGCTGTCATTGTCCTTGACAATCATGGCATCTTTCAGCAGCTCCCAGTGGATCTGGACACTCTACACTCTACTCATGTGGGTCAGGAGTGAGCCAACAGGATCAAGAAACAACTCTGTTATGAAGGAGGGGCATTATACAGGGAGCTGGTATGGATGCTTCCTAAGGGTTAGGCCATCTTCTGGGAAGAGCTTTCTTCTCTTAAGATAGAAAATTATTTAGAACAGAAGCTCCTTGCCTCTTGCTTACTTAGGGGAGGAAGGATGCAATCTGTTGCTTCAGGAGAGGATGTGTTTGGAGTAATGTATTATGGCCGCGGTTTTCTGCAGTGTGTTCCTGGAGACAATAGAGGTGCTGAATCTACCCTGCACTGATGCCCACACGAGCTAAGAGAGCAGTTGTCAAATGCTCACAACTGTTAACTTTAAAGTAAAACTGCCCTTATTTCCCCAGCAAAAATAGGTTTATTCAGGAATAGCAGAGAAGTGCAGTCTGGAAAAATCAAATTTAGCAAAACCACACGAGAGTCTGCAGAACAAAGGGGGGGGGGGCTCTTTTATAGAGGAAGGGGAGTGGGGTGGGCTATTACAAACAGAAAGTCCATTGGAGTAAATTGAGAGCTGGAAGTGTGGTGGTCTCTCATTGGCTGGTCTATGGCAGTCTCTCACTGACTGAGCTGTGATGATCTCTCATTGGCTGGGCTGTGGCAGTGTCTCATTGGCTGGCTGTGTGGCAGTCATTCATTGGCTGAGCTGTGGCAGTCTCTTATTGGCTGGGCTGTTGCTGGGGGAGAAGGAAACCTTCCTTCATCCTGCTGGAATAGTAAAGTGGTAGCTAAGGTAATAGCAGGTGTAAGGTGCATGTCTTCCTGTTGGATCCCGGGTTGACCGGGAGTGTAGGGCGGGAGTTCCCCCGCCCGCCTCCGTACTCCGTTCTAAACGAAGTTCCCTTTTATTAATTTTCACAACACTAAAAGTACTTGTCCAATCAGGATGATTTCTAGAGTTTTATTTTATTTTTTAAAAACATTTTATGGGGCGCCTGGGTGGCTCAGTGGGTTAAGCCGCTGCCTTCGGCTCAGGTCGTGATCTCGGGGTCCTGGGATCGAGTCCCACATCGGGCTCTCTGCTCGGCAGGAAGCCTGCTTCCCTCTCTCTCTCTCTGCCTGCCTCTCCGTCTACTTGTGATCTCTCTCTGTCAAATAAATTAAAAAAAAAAAAATTAAAAAAAAAAACATTTTATTTATTTATTTGACAGAGAGAGAGACAGCGAGGGGGGAACCAAGCAGGGGGAGTGGGAGAGGGAGAAGTAGGCTTCCCACCGAGCAGGGAGCCTGATGCGGGGCTTGATCCCAGGACCCCAGGATCATGACCTGAGTAGAAGGCAGCCACTTAAGGGCTGAGCCACCCAGCCGGCCCCTAGAGATTTATTTTATGATGATGAACAAATTAAAACTTATGGTATGTGCCCTTTTACTTTGTTTCCATGTAGCTCCGTATTTGAATAAAACCCCCATTATCATATAAATAACAAAAATGCTGCTGGATATGGTCACAAGATATAGAGCCCTCTGGCACATATTTTCATCGCAGCGACCTGACAGTCTTTTGAGGAATCATATCTATTTGCAGATAAGAGAGATCGTCTCTGGTCACCTTCCTCGTGAGTGATGGATACTGATCCAGGTCTTGTGTTCTGTGCTTGGGCCCCTCACTCTTTTCCATAACAGGAGGGAGAACCTGAATCTTGACTTTTTTGGCAGTTTTATTATGTTGTTACATTTCTCAAGAGCTCTTCCTTAATTCAACAGGATGACATTTCTACCTGTCTGGAAGGCTGTAGTTGGAAATTCTTAAGGGAAATGGGTGTTTAGCTGTGCATTGGATCTCTTTTTCTAGTGAATGAGCTGTGGAATGAAAAGTAGATGATATCATCCACCGTAAGAAGAAGGCAGTGCAGAATAGCGGTGGGAAAGAAACATTTTGTACCTATACTTTTTCAGTAGTGAATTGGCCCATACCAGCCATTAGACTGTACAGATTATTGCTATCACATTAGATTTTTCAGTAGCATCATTCCTGCCGAGGCTGTTACAACACACTTTCAGAGCCCGCTGACGCACAGTGCGTGGGGACAGCTCAGTGGACGGCTGGCCCACGCTTGGAGCAGGGAGGTGCAGGACATCCTGGGAGACGTTTACGTAATTTGGGGGGCAGCTGCTGTGTTAATGTTGAGCATCAGCCTACATAAGCGAGGAGTTTCTGGCGGCTCCAGGTTAAGGAAGGCTACTTCGTTCTTTTTTTTTTTTTTTAAAGATTTTATTTATTTATTTGACAGAGAGATCACAAGCAGGCAGAGAGGCGGGCAGAGAGAGAGGAGGAAGCAGGCTCCCCGCTGAGCAGAGAGCCCAATGCGGGGCTCGATCCCAGGACTCTGAGATCATGACCTGAGCCGAAGGCAGCGGCTTAACCCACTGAGCCACCCAGGCGCCCCGCTACTTCGTTCTTAATAACATTTATAAGGATTTTTTTTAATACAGAAAAGAATAAAGGGAAAAGCAAAAATGCTTTCCATCCCACCCAGATGGTGCAGGAGCACATGTGCGTGGCTCGAAGGTGCAAACACAGAAGCCACCTGCCCCTCGGCCATGGCTCCTCTCCCCCAAGGGGACCATGACAGCGGTGGCATGGCTGTCCCTACAGGAGGGTTTCGCTGCTGCCACTCAGGCTGTGTTCACATGTCCCTCAGCTGCCAGGCTTGCTTCTCATCTTTTCCTGGGGCTGTGGGTTTGGGCCTGAGCAGGTTTTACACTAGCTGTGGCCTCTGGAAGGGCTCACTTCAGGTAGCTCCTGCCTCTGGCTCTTTACACAGCTCTCCCGAGTCCAGCCGCCTTCCATCTTCTCTTGCTCTTGTGTGGAGGTTCTAGTAATCTGGCCACAGAGGGAGGGGCAATGCTCAGGGGAGACAGGGTGTTGTGATAGGGTTGCATTTGAAACCACAATTAAATATAAGTCCTCTGAAAAGTAAATTTTTTTCTTCCAAAGGGAAGGAACAAGCAGTTTGGAATATTACATTTACGATATTATAGTCTTTAGTGACCTGTATTTTTTATTTTATTTTATTTTATTTGATAGCGAGAGCACAAGCAGGAGAAGCAGCAAAGGGGGAGAGAGAAATAGACTCCCTGCTGGGCAGGGAGCCCAATGCAGGGCTCGATCCCAGACCCTGAGATCATGACCTAAAGCCGAAGGCAGCTGCTTAACTATCTGAGCCACCCAGACACCCCTTGTGACCTGTATTTATTTGAAGTCTGTGGTATCCCTCCTTCACAATAAACTTCGAACAGTTGCGGCTGTTGATCACAGGCTTCCTGCTGCAAGGCTGAGCTCCCCCAGCCCTGCCTCGCTGAGGAAGTGGGTGGGTGTGGATCACGCCCTGTACAGGGGAGGACACTGAAGCCTAGAGTGGTTCAGGTCACACAGAGGAAGAGCAGCAGAGCTAGGATTTGAATCTGTGCCCATCTGACCCCCCCAAAGCTGAGTTCTTCCTGGTATGGGAAATTTTCAGTTGTTGACATTTTAAAAAGTGTATGAATGATAAAATAAATTGAATCAAATTCATTAAGGACTATTTGTTACTACGGGGCTGTACCTTTTATCACTGAACTGTCTCAGATCCGTGAACCTGGGCGGAGCACACAGTTGTCATGCTCATGCTGTTGGCTGGGATGAAACCTCTGTGGCATCCTCGTCCTTCCCAGGGATGGCATGAAGGACTCATGACTTGACCCACAAAGGACGGTTTTGTTATCCCCCGTTCTCGGCGCTGCTCATAGTAGAGATATCTGTGGTTATTTCTGCTGGGTGAATGAATCACCGTTGCCTTCTGAATCTGATGAATCAGTGTTGCCTTCTGAATAATTGAGCTTTTTGTTGTTGTCTCTTCCTTTGTAGAGACTTAAAGCCTGAGAATATCCTCCTTGATGACCGAGGTAAGTAAGTGAGCTTTTCATATCTAAAGCATAAGACTTCGTTAAGAGGGATTTGGTTGGGCACCTGGGTGGCTCAGTGGGTTAAGCCTCTGCTTTCGGCTCAGGTCATGATCTCGGGGTCCTGGGATCAAGTCCTGATTGGGCTCTCTGCTCAGCGGGAAGCCTGCTTCCCCCTCTCTCCCTCTCTGCCTACTTGTGATCTCTCTCTGTGTGCCAAATAAATAAATAAAAAATCTTAAAAAAAAAAAAAAAGAGGGACTTGGTTACAGAAAGTTAATGCAGGCTTAGCCCATTGTTGCAGAACAGAAACAACAACGAAAAGGGAAACTCTTTGGTACGTGTTCTTTTGAAAATACAACAGAGATAACATTGCCATTCCCCTGTATTCAGGCAAGAAGCAAAGTTGGTCATAATTTTCAGTTAATAATTGAATTCTAAAGCATATTAAAATAAATTCACAGTAAGAACATTTTTCTCTGTCATACTGCTTGCTGTTGGTCCACATCTTGATTTTTCCCTTAGAAGTATATTTCCACCCAGGAGCTCCTAAGAATTTTCCTTTTTTAAAAAATAACAAATGAGGGGCACCTGGGTGGCTCAGTGGGTTAAAGCCTCTGCCTTTGGCTCAGGTCATGATCCCAGGGTTCTGGGATCGAGCCCCGCATCAGGCTCTCTGCTCAGCGGGGAGCCTGCTTCCCCCACCCCCGCCTGCCTCTCTGCCTACTTGTGATCTCTGTCTGTCAAATAAATAAATAAAGTCTTTTTAAAAAGAAAAAAATAACAAATGGTTGTTGAATTTTGTCAGTGCTTTTTTCTATCAAAATGATTATGTGTTCTTTTTTGTTAGTATAGTTAATTTTCAAATAGTAAACTAACCTGTAATTTCTTTTTTTTTTTTAATTAAAGATTTTATTTATTTGACAGAGAGTGATCACAAGTAGGAGAGAAGCAGGCAGAGAGAGAGGGGGAAGCAGGCTCCCCACTGAGCAGAGAGCCTGATGTGGGGCTTGATCCCAGGACCCTGAGATCATAACCTGAGCTAAAGGCAGAGTCTTTAACCCACTGAGCCACCCAGGTGCCCCTAACCTGTAATTTCTGAAATAAATCCAAAGTGGGCATAATGAGTTATTCTTTACATAGATTGCTAGTTTCTCTCTTCTGATATTTTGAAGATGAGGCTGGCTCTGTTTTTGAGGGCCCTGGATCACCATGTCTCTGCAGTGCTGGAAGCACCAGAGCCCTGCTGTGTCTGTGTCCCTGCACACTCTCTAGGAGCCCAGAAGTCTTGGCTCAGCTCCCAGGTGGTCCCAGCCTCTGCAAGAGTCCCAGGTGGGAGCAGCTGGAGAGTGGCTGTGTGTGTCCCCCACGCCTAGAACAGACTCTGATTTGACCAGGGTTTGTAAATGCTTCTGGGAAAACACTTGTGTCCCTTGCAGCTCCCCTCTGGTTGATTCTCCACACAGGGTCTCAGTGAAGCAGATCCAGGAACTGCCATGGCTCACGGATGCCCTTAAAGTATAACTTATGTGCACCTGTGGTCAGTAGTAGTATGGGCCACCGTGACCTTGGCCACCTTGTCCCAAAGCAGGTGCCAAGTGTCATTTCTTTGGTGCTTACTATTACTTATTCTTTAGAAACTGTGGACCTGGTCACATTCTTGTTAAGAATGGAAAGGAATGACAGAATTTTGTTTTGCTTTTTTGATTTCAGGAGACTTTCAATCTTTTCTTTTTGTTTTCCTACTCTTTTAATTTTAAAAGTGTAATCCTAGCTATATTTTGTGACTTATAAATGCAATTGATTGTAGGTTTTTTAGTATCCTGCACTTAAAATTCCCAAGAACTAATTTCCACCAGAAACCATAGAACATAGGAGCAACTCTCTCCTTTCCCATCTTGATAGCTTGTCGGGGTTTCTGTTTTTGTCTGTAAAGCATAACCTGACATTTGTGGTGAAATTAGGTTTAAAAAAGATGATTATCAAGAGAACTACAGGCCAATATCTCTAATGAACATAGATACAAAAATCTTCAACAAAATACCAGCAAACCGAATCCAAGAATACATTAAAAAAATCATTCACAACAATCAAGTGTGATTTATTCCTGGGATGCAAGGGTGGTCCAGTATTCACAAATCAATCAACGTAACATATCACATCAATAAGAAAAAGGATAAATCCACGTGATCATTTCAATAGATGCAGAAGAAGCATTTGACAAAGCACAACATCTATTCATGATAAAAGCCCTCAACAAAGTAGATTGAGAAGGAACATACCTCAACATAATAAAGGTCATATATGAAAAACCCACAGCTAATATCATCCTCAGTGGGGAAAAATTGAGAGCTTTTCCCCTAAGGTCAGGAACAAGACAGGGATTACTCTCACCACTTTTATTCAACATAGTACTGGAAGTCCTAGCCACAGCAGTCAGACAAGAAAAAGGAATAAAAGTCATCTAAATTGGTAAGGAGGAAGTAAAACTTTCTGTATTTGCAGATGACATGATGCTATATATAGAAAACCTTAAGGACTCTGCCAAAAAAACTGCTAGAGCTGATAAATGAGTTCAGTAAGATTGTAGTATACAAAATCAGTGTATAGAAATCTGTTGCATTTCTATACACCAATAATGAAGCAGCAGAAAGAAAAACTAAGAAAATAATTCCGTTTGTAATTATGCCAAAAATAATAAAATACCTAGGAATAAGCTCAACCACGGAGGTAAAAAGCCTGTACTCTGAAATTTTTAAAACATTGAGGAAAGAAATTGAAGATAATACAAACAGATGGATAGATATTACATGCTCATGGATTAGAATAACAGATATTGTTAAAATGTCTAAACTACCTCCAAGCAATCTACAGATTTAATGCATTCCCTATCAAAATATCAATGACATTTTTCACAGAACTAGAACAAGTAATCTTAAAATTTGTATGAAACCACAAAGACCCAAATAGCCGAAGCATCTTGAAAAAGAAGAACAAAGCTGGAGGAATCACAATTCCAGATTTCAAGATAAGTTATAAATCTGTAGTGATCAAAACAGCATGGTACTGGCACAGAAAAAAGACACACAAATCAATAGAATAGAATAGAAAACCCAGAAATAAACATATACTTATGGGTTTATTTAATTAATCTTCAACAATTAATCTTCAACAAAGGAGGCAAGAGCATGCAATGAGAAAAAGAATATGCAGTGGTCTCTTCAATAAATGGTGTTGGGAAAACTGGAACACTTTCTTACACCACACACAAAAATAAACTCAAAGTGGATTAAGGACCTAAATATGAGACCTGAAACCATAAAAGTCCTAGAAGAGAACACAGGCAGTAACTTCTCTGACACTGGCCATAACAATGTATTTTTTGTTTTTTTAAGATATGCCTCCCGAGGCAAGGGAAACAAAAGCAAAAATTAAGTTTTGGAATTACATCAAAATAAAATCTTCTGCATAGCAAAGGAAACAATCAACAAAACAGACAACAACAACAACAACAACAAAAAACACAAAAAGACAACTGAATAGTAGGAGATATTTGCAAATGACACATCCAATAAAGGGTTGGTATCCAACATATATAAAGAACTTCTAAAACTCAATACCCAAGAGACAGTCCAATTAGAAATAGATAGAAACCATGAATAGACATTTCTCCAAAGAAGACATCCAGACAGCCAACAGACACATGAAAAGATGCTCAACATCCCTCATCATCAGGGAAATGCAAATCCAAACCACAGTGAGATACCACCTCATACCAGTCAGATGTCTAAAATAAAAAACATAATAAAGAACAAGTGTTGGTGAGAATGCAGAGAAAAAGGAAACCTCATGCACTGTTGGTGGAAATATAAACAGATGTGGCCACTGTGGAAGACAGTATGGATGTTCCTCAAAAAATTAAAAGTAGAAATACTATATGATCCAATAATCATACTACTGGGTACTTACCCAAAGAATATGAGAGCATGAGTTCAGAGGAATACATACATCCCTATGTTTATTGCAGCATTATTTACAATAGCCAGACTATGGAGGCAGCCTAAGGGTCCATTGACTGATGAATGCATAAAGAAGAGGTGATATATATATATTTGATGGAATATTATTCAGCCATAAAAAGAATGAAATCTTGCCATTTGCAACAACGTGGATGGATCTAGAGAGTATAATGCTAAATGAAATAAGTTAGTCAAGGAAAAACAAACCATATGATTTCACTCATACATGGAATTTAGGAAACAAAACAAATGAACCAAGAAAAAAAAAAGAGAAAAACCAAAAGACGGACTCTTAACTCTAGAGAAAACTGAAGGTCACCAGAGAGAGAGGTGGTGGGGGAATAGGTGAAACAGGTGAGGGGAATGAAGAGGACACTTAGCATGATGAGCCCTGAGTAATATATGGAAGTGTTGAATCACCATGTTGTACACTCGAAATTAATACAACACTATGTTAACTATACCAGAGTTAAAATAAAATTTAAATTAAAAAAGGCTGGTTGGGGCGCCCGGGTGGCTCAGTTGGTTAAGTGTCTGCCTTCAGCTCAGGTCATGACCTCAGTGTCCTGGGATCAAGCCTTGTGTCCAGCTCTCTGCTCGGCAAATAGTCTACGTCTCTCCCCCTCCCCGTACCTCTGGGCTTGCTCGCTCTCTCAAAAAGAAATAAATAAAATCTTTTAAAAACTGATTATCGTCTGTTTTGGGTTTTTAGGTACATTTATTGTTTGTCCATCCTAAATATGTCAGCCCCTTTTTTTTGAAAACATAAATTAAGTGGGACTTGGTTTGTGAAATTTAACTGGTAGTTGAGATAAAAAAGAAAACTATCATGCCTATATTTTCTATACTAGAGACTTCAGTTTTATGAAATAGGTATATTCCTAAAAAGCAGGATGAGCAGTGAATCCATGTAAAGACTAGTAGCATTTATTATCGACAGTGATTTTAAAGGAAATCCTATATGTCATATTCTTCCATCTATAAAATATATATCAAAGATAAGGATACTATTTTTTTTTAAAGATTTTATTTATTTATTTGTCAGAGAGAGAGAGGGAGAGAGAGCAAGCACAGGCAGACAGAATGGCAGGCAGAGGCAGAGGGAGAAGCAGGCTCCCTGATGAGCAAGGAGTCCGATGTGGGACTCGATCCCAGGACGCCGGGACCATGACCTGAGCCTAAGGCAGCTGCTTAACCAACTGAGCCACCCAGGTGTCCCAAGGATACTATTTTTAAAACATAAGCCCAATATTTTTTTCACATCGAAAAGTATTTAACAATTCTTTGGGGCACATGTGTGGCTTAGTTGGTTAAGTGTCTGACTCTTGATTTTGGCTTAGGTCATGATCTCAGGGTTCTGAGATTGAGCCCCGCATCAGGCTCCGTGCTGAGTGTGGACCCTGCTTAAGATTCTCTCTCCATCTCCCTCTGCCCCTCCCATCAGCTTTAAATCTTCCTTAATTATTTCGTAAGTGTTTTTATAGTTGTGTGTCAAATGTAGATGAAGTTCATATTCCATTTGGTTGATATCTTGTCGAGTTTTAATTTTCATAAGTTCCTCCTCCCTGCTTCTTTGTGTCATTTGTTTGTGAAACCAGTGTTATGGGTCAGAGTGTGTGTTTCTAGAATTCATGTCATGAACCTAACCCCCAGTACCTCAGAATGTGACTGTATAGCTGACCTTTGAACCATGTGGGGATTAAGGGGACCAGCATCCCATGCAGTCAAAAATCCGCATAACTTTTCCTTTTTATAAGAGAGAGAGGAAGCTGGAGGCAGGGGAGGTGTAGATAGAGTCTTAAGCAGACTGCACTGAGGGCAGATCCTGACACCGGGCTCAATCTCACAACCCTGAGATCATGACCTGAACTGAAATCAAGAAATGGATGCTTAACTGAGTCACCCAGGTGCCCCCACATACAACTTTTCAACTTCCTTAACTACTATAGCCTAGAGTTGACCAGAAGCCTTACTGATGACATTAAACAGTCGATTGACGCATATTCTGTATGTTAAATATATTATATACAGTATTCTTACAATAACGTAAGCTAGACAAAAGATGTTAGAGAATCACAAGGAAGAACAAAGCAAATGCATTCACAGTGCTGTTCTGTACTGAAAAAAATGCATGTGTAAGTGCACCCATGTAGTGCAAACCCATGGTGTTCAAGGATCAGCCGTGTTTGGAATGGAGGTCTTTAAAGATGTGTTTACAGCTGAATGAGGTCACTAGGGAGAGTCCTAATTGCATATGACTGGTGTTCTCCTAAGAGGAGGAGATGGGATGCAGGCGGGCACAGAGGGAAGAGGCTGTGAATACACGGGGCAAGAACAGTGGTCTACACGCCGGGCAGAGAGGCCCACCCTTCCAGCGTCCAGGGCTGTGGGCAAATAAACATCTGTCCTTTCAGCCCCCAGCTCTGGCACTTTGGTAATGGCAGCCCTGGCAGGCTAGAACATAGACATCTGCCCTAGAGAAGTTCCCGGCTTGTGGATTTGGCTGGATTTAACATGTTCCCTGCCTCCCCTATTCTTCCGGTAAGCAGGTGGTTCGGTCTGGAGGCTGGAATCGGCCCAGGTTTGATTTCTGGTGAACATACTTGGTGTGTCCTTCCTGTTGTGTGACATCAGGAGGCATGTGAGGACTGAGCATCTCTCCTTTTACAGTGTTGAGAGTGATGACTGGTTTCACTCCTTGCTCAGCCTGATCTCTCCATTATCCATTTCCCACCAGCTTTTCACTTAATGGATGAAGGATCAGTATCAAGATACAGCATTTCACTGGGGCATTCGAATTCTGCCCTCCCTGGTGTACGTAATTGTTGAGACCCATCTGTAAAAAAGAGCTTTCTTTGTTTACCTGTTGGTTCAAGAAAAGCAGGTGAAATATGTGAGTGCTTCCTTTTATTTCTGCTTTCCAGGAGATTGTGTTAGTTCGCTTTTGTTCTCCAAGATGATCAAGGAGGTTTTTGTTTTATTCTGTTTTGGTATCATTAATAAATGTATGGATTTTAATGATTTGATAGGGTTTAATCCATTGGAGTAATTATTCTTTACAATGTTTTTTGTCCCTTCTTTGGCCAATGAATGTCCAGTAGCCTCTCATGATTTCCTTGTTTTCTGCTATTGTTTCTTACTGAAGATATTCCAGGATGACCTTGTACATGCAATGACGGAGACCTGGAGTTGGCCGTGTCTCCAAGGGGCCTGGTGTGTGGGGAGCCTGGGGTGGGGGCCAGGTGCTGTTGCTACCCTGCTCATCATTCTTCCCCGGCCTTTTCTGGGAGAGAACACATCTGTTCTTGAGTTTTTAAAAGAAAATATTGGGGCGCCTGGGTGGCTCAGTGGGTTAAGCCTCTGCCTTTGGCTCAGGTCAGCATCTCAGGGCCCTGGGATCGAGCCCCACATCAGGCTCTCTGCTCAGCAGGGAGCCTGCTTCCCAGCCCCCTCCCTGGCGCTGCCTGCCTCTCTGCCTACTTGTGATCTCTATCCATCAAATAAATAAATAAAATCGTTTTTAAAAAATAAAAGAAAATATTCATCATGGATTCATATTGATATTTCTAATTCTCATTATATTTCTTCATTTCACATTTGTGACTTTTTTCTCCTAATGACATTTGCATCATTACAGTATTTTTCTCTGCTTTTAAAATATGTAACATAGACTAATCTACAACACTGAATAGAGAGAGATCTTGCTTGTTTCTTCCAGCTGCCTGTGGATGGGCTGGTTTGAACTGCCGGGTCCACACTGCCCGCTAGGGGGCTGTTCCAGCCCTCTGTTCTTCCAGTTTAGTGGGGCCACGCCTGGCCCTCTGGGCATGTCATTTCCTGCTTTTTTTGCAGGTGTCCCCTGAGGGGTGTGAAGTTGAAGGATAGGTTCACACGGGCTTCGCAAACATTGTGAAACTCCCTGAGGTGGAGCTATGCTGGTCTGTGTGCACACCCCATGCCCCTGCTTCCCCAGGACCCCAGCCACAGACTGCATGCTCAAACTGAGTCTCTTGTCAGTTTGTTGGTAGTTATACTTTTCATTTCTCAGTGGAAAAAAATCACTTTTCAAAAGAAAAATAAGAAAGGATACTTAAAATTTCACAACATGCCAGTACTCAAACATAACATATGGGAAATCTGACTTGTTGAGGAAATCTTCCTATATGAAAGTAGGAAACTTAGACACACTGACCAATGGCAGAGCTGGGACTCAAACCCAAGGCCGTGTGGTTCCAGACTCTGCTCCCATGGCTCCAGCCTGGTGCCTCCCCCAGTGCAGGCGCACGGCTGGGAGTAATGTGACTCAGTACCGCCGTGCAAAGGACAAGGTCAATTTTCCTGTCTGAGGCATAATGCAGTCCGTGTTAAAGCAAAATCAGTGCCTTGAATGGCATGTTGTGGATTTTCAGTGTTGAGCACATACTTATTGGTTGGTTCATTTATTTCTTCAATATTTATTGAGCACCTACTATATGTAGGTAGGGTGTCAGGAGCTGGAGACACATGGCCAATAAGGTGAGCAGGGCATCTGCCTCCAGGGCTGGTTTATCTTCTCAGACTCTCAAAAGAAAGTTTTCTATAATCTGTTATTTTCATACTGAATTTAGTAACCATTTAAATCTTTCTATATAAAGGCATTAAAACATAACAGAAGTCTTTCAGTGAGTTTTCTTGATTTTATTTATGATTTTACAATGATGATTTATTCTTCGGAGAAAAGCTCCTTATTATTCATCTGCTGTTCCTGTATATAAGCCTACTGGTATTCTGACAGAAAGTGCTCATTTTCTCTTGTGTAGTTCATGTACTATTCATTATAGTTCTATTTATGGCTCTGGTAGTTATAGGAAATTAAATAATAAACGTAAAGCTTCTATCTTACCAAGTGGTTGTCATGGTTAAGGGGCTTTCTGATTAGTAACCAGCTATAAATCTGATTTCCTGTTGTGTTAGTGGACCCGAACGCTCTGCAGAGTATTTTAGTAATTGTGGAGAAGTTAGATGGGAGAAGGAGAACATCTCTACTGTTTATTGTCCTGAATGTGTCAGCATACCCCCTGTGGTTTGTAATATGCTTGAACACACACAGGGCACATCCGGATCTCAGACCTGGGTCTGGCCACGGAGATCCCGGAAGGGGAGACCATCCGAGGAAGAGTGGGGACTGTCGGCTACATGGGTATGTGAACAGCTGCTTCGGGATACTTGCGCTTTGTCTTGGGGTGCCCACATCCTCACAGCACAGAGAAGTTCTAAGCCCCTTGGAGGGAGCATGGGTGTTGGAAGTTTGTACCTGGCCAGAGCTGGGACTCCTGAGGAGTCCTCCTGTCTGCCCTCCTGTCTTACAGAGACCGGGGTGAGGCCGGCAGAGGTCATGCAGCTGAGTGAGGGCAGAATCAGGGCAGGATGGGGTCCTCGCTCTGCTGTTGCCACCGTCCTGGGCTCACCGGTCTCTCCAGGCCCTTCCGCACCCATGGTTCCCTGGTTCTTGCAAAGCCTCTGTGACTGGGTGGCCCTGGTGTGGGGTCAGCTCCCCACCTGGCAGTGCTAGCCTGACCAGGCATGGCCTCTGGTATGAGGGACACCGAGGGCCTCTGCAGAGTACTGCAGTCACATCCCTGCCCCACCTGTTGCAGGGGTCGGTACCCTTGGGGCACCCGTGGGTGTGGCTCTGTGCCTGCTCATTTCGTGCCCTGGGGATAGCATAGACTGTTTCCTGTGACCCCTTTGTTGACTATAAGTGACATGCTCTAAAATCCACCACTCTGAAGTGTACCCGTGAGTGGAGATCAGCATGCGCACGGAGCTGTGCGACCACCACCCCCAGAAAGAGACCCTGGGCCCATGAGCACCCCTCCAGGCCCAGGCCTGTGGCTGCTCGCCCCCTTTCTGTCTCCACGGACTGTCTCTTCTGCCTGCTTCATATAAATAGGATCTCACACTCTTGGGCCTTCTGTGTCTGTCTTCTGCCCCTTAACACATTTCCAGGGTTCATGTTGTAACATTAATTTTATAATGTGTTATTTGGAAATAATTACAAGAAAATTTAAAACCAAAATTTAATTTAAATTTCCCTGTATTTGTTATGTAGCTCCTGAAATTATCAATAATGAACACTATACATTTAGTCCTGATTGGTGGGGACTTGGCTGTCTGATGTATGAAATGATTGAGGGACATTCTCCATTCAGAAAATTCAAAGAGAAAGTCAAGCGAGAGGAGGTGGACCGAAGAGTGAGGAAGGACACGGAGCAGTATTCGGAGAAGTTTTCGGAGGATGCCAAGTCCTTCTGCAAGATGGTGGGTCGGGCTCTGGGGAGGTCGGCGTGGAACCCCTAGCTTATGGGGTTGTTTCCACTAACAGTCTCTGCACTGGTCCTCACCGGGAAATGACGTGATCGGGTTTCCAACCAATGGAAGCAAAGTGGAGATGCACCTTATTTGATTTCTCAAAAGATTCTCCTGAGAGAGAAGAGTGGTGCCAAGGTCCTGTGAAACTGAAGATCAAACAGAACCTTGTTTCTTAGAAAGAGTGAGGTTTTTCCTTCTGCCCATGTTTCTTTGTTTCGTCCTCTTTAACTGGCTGCCAGGGGTCGTGGTCATGATAGACACCCCAACTTGATGGGCCGCCACGTGTCTCCCATTTTTCTGGATGCATTAAGGGCCCCATGAGGCTGTGTGTCACAGCGGGGAGAAGAGGATGGAGGCTGTGGGGCTGGGGGCAGGCAGAGCAATGGTTGAACGATGGGGGCCAGAATCATGGTGGGTTATGGGAGGATGTGGAAGAGGGGCTCAGGACAGAGTTAGGAGGCTGGAGGCAAAGGTGTGAGCACTTCTTGTTGGAGCCATGGCCCCTCTCGCCAGAGTTGGAGAGTTGGGAGAGGAAAGGAAGGAGAGGAAAGCAGGGCTGGCTGGTCATGAAGAGTCAAGGGGGAGAGTGGAGGAGATGGGGGGGACGGAGGCCACGGAGAGGCAGGCCGTAGGTCCCCAAGTGGTTGCCTGCTGGAACCTGCAGCTGCTGTACCCATTACTGAAAACGTCAGTAACTTAGGTGAGTTGTTGGTGGCTGGAGATAGAGATTTTGTTTCCCCTTCCCTGTTGGTGCGAAGCAAGTAAGGCCTGCCTCCAAGGAGCTCACAGTTCAATGGCAGGCCTAGAACAAACACGAAAAATAACTATAGTGAAAAAGAATTTGAGGGGTGCCATTAACGAGAGAGAAACAAGGGCTCAAAGGTTTTCAGGATGGGGAGTGCTGTGTTCTGGTTAGGGTGCTAGGGAAGGCAGGCAGTGCCTGGGTGAGAACCAGGGCTGGGCCTTGGAGCTCAGGGGCCACATCTCAGCTCCCCGTGCCCGACTTCCCTGTCCAGCCTCTGGTTTCTTGTCTGACGTGTGCATGGTGATAGTCTCATCCTCACAGGCTCACTGGGAAGGGCTGATGCGGGAGTGGGTATGACTGGCCAGCTCTTTACAAGGACCTAAACAGGCGGCCAGAGCGGCTCCTGACGTGTGGACACCTGTCTGTAGTTTGGAAAGCTCTTTGATAGGTTATCTCATCTGACCCTCAGAGTGGACTTCTAAGGGATTTTCTTAGCCTCACAGTTGGAAAATTAAAAATGTGATTTTTTTAAAAAAGATTTTTAGAGAGAGTGTGTGGGTGTGCATGAGTGTGGGGAAGGGCAGAGGAAGAGAGAGAAGCAGACTCCCCGCTGAGCACGGAGCCCCTAGCCCTAAGATCATGACCTGAGCTGAAATCAAGAGTTGGCGGCTTAACCGATTCACCCAGGCGCCCTCAGAGTGTGATTTCTGTGACATCCCATAATGGAGTGTCAATGGGCCAACTTGAACCCAGGCGTTCTGATCATAAGTCCAAGGCCTTCCGAAGGGGTACGTTAGCAGCAGGGTTGATGATGGAGTCCTGGGCTCTAGGGATTGTGTTTGGCATCACACGGAATTCTCAGGTCTGTTTTTAATGAGCAAAGCATGCCAAGAAGACCCCACTGAGCAAATCTTGTCGAGCCCTTGCCTGGTGAGGTGCGGGGGCTATAGCAGCCAGTGGGAAGTCCCACGGCCCTGCCTCTGGAGGCTTGGGTCCTACAGGAGGGACTGGCCCTGAGCACTCAACCAGGTGATGGCATCACAACCAGGCGAAGGGTATTCTAGACAGAGGGCATGGTATGTGTACCATCAAGGAGGTGAGAAGGTGAGGGTGTGTGCTGCATCCAGAGTCCACCCAGCAAAGGCTGCAGGAGCGTGCAGGCTGGTGCACACGTGCCGGATGCAGAACGTGCTCAGCCCTGTGCCTGCGACTTTGGTTTCTCTACAGAAGAGTGGTGGGTGTGGGCCGTGAGGCAAGGCCAAGGTGGGCAGACTTCTCTCTGAGTGGCCAGGTACTTAGGCTTGGCAGGTCCCTCACACAGCTGTTGGGCTCCGCATGGTAAGGCAACAGCACAGACCCGCCTGTGTTGTGCTAAAAGCTCCTTGCTGAGGTAAGGCAGCTTCCCGGCCACACCTGTCCTGTGTTGCTTTGGGCACAGCCAAACCCCTCAGACTGATGATAACTGTGGACGAGGGCCTATTTGGTGAAACTTATGAAAATATGAGTAAAGAATACTCTTGAAAGAGATGCTGTCTGTTCATTTTAAGAATATATAATTTCTAAAACTTGATTTGCCAAATTTTTGTCTCATCTGAGCTCCTTAGAAATCTACTTGATGAGTTGATTAAAATAGCTTCTAACTGTAAACGTAACTTAACATTAAAATGGTATCTGTGAGGGCGCCTGGGTGGCTCAGTTGGTTAAGCATCTGCCTTCCGCTCAGGTCATGATCCCGGAGTCTCAGGATCGAGTCCAACCTCAGGCTCCCTGCTCAGCGGGGAGTCTGCTTTTTCCCTCTGATCCTCCTCCACCTTGTGCTCTCTCTCTCTCAAATAAATAAAATCTTTAAAAAACAGAATAAAATAAAATGGTATCTGTGAAGTTCTTGACAGTATTTCTTTTTAAAGAGCCCCCTCATTTTTACATGGCTGGAACTTTTTTTTTTTTTTGCCTTAAAGGGTTTACCTAGCTGACCTTTATTTATTGGTAGCTCAAAGGCTATTATTATATTAGTTTCCACTCCTTTTTGAAACCTCATATATCCTAAATTCGTGAAATCTGAATTAAGGAGGCTTGGTTGAATCTTTGAAATTTGAGTAACTTTGGGGCACCTGGGTGGTTCAGTCAGTTGAGCGTCTCCCTTTGGCTTGGGTCATGATCCCAGGGTCCTGGGATGGAGTCCTGCATTGGGCTCCCTGCTCAGTGGGGAGCCGCCTTCTCCCACTCTCCCTGCTTGTGCTCGAACTCTCTCTCTCTCTGTCTCAAATAAATAAATCTTAAAAAGAAAGAGAAATTTGAGTAACTTTGTTTAGAGAGAGATACTCTTTGCTACCCCTGATTCTTTGCTTATTATTATGGAGACTTTCCGAGTTCTTTCTCCTATCCTAGGAGCCTAAATTGACTCCATTTCTGCCTCTCGCGCAGTTACTCACCAAGAATCCCAAACAACGGCTGGGCAGCAAGGCAGGAGCAGTGGAAGTGAAGGCTCACCCTGTGTTTAAGGACATTAACTTCAAGAGGCTGGAAGCAAATATGTTAGAGCCGCCATTCTGTCCTGATGTAAGTATGTTGCCCAGACAGGAGCAGGCTGTCCAAGAAAATGGGTCCACGGAGGCCTGTGATTTTCCAGCAGGTAGAGAACCTCGGGTGCCACCCGGCTGTGCTTCTGCTTAGGTGCTCCCTCCCAGCCCCCAGCCACTCATCACACTGTCCTCACAGGTCCCCCCAGGCCTTTCTGGCAGCCAATCCTGGCTCTGCCGTGCTCAGAGCCCCGGCGCCACCCCACATCCTCCTCGCCGGGCCCTGGAGGCCTTCTGTGTGACAGAGTCCCCTATCTTGTGTCCTCACCACCATGCCCACCTCTTTAGTCTGGGAAGCCCTTCCCCTCTCTGTGCCTCCAAGGTCCGGGCTCCACACTGTCCACAGGGAGTCCTGGGGTCACTGAGCCTCTTGTGAGCCTGCTGTGGGGCCGACTCAAGGGCAGTGTCCGTGTGCTCAGCACAGGGCCCCGCCTGGGTCAGTGCTCAGTGGGAACACCAGCAGGCAGGAAATTCCTGTTGAGCAAGGCAGAAATACACAGACAGCAGTCTGGACTCTCTCCTTAACACACTACCGGCACATTCCAGAAGAGCGGAGATAATTCTGCTGGAGATGATGGAACTGAGGTGTACGATAAAAACATCTTTAGTTGTACAAGTTGGGCCTGACTATGTTTTTAGATTCCAGTGTGTTGTGGTAGTACTGCCTTCCTTTGAATCAGTTCACACATGACATATTTACTGAGTGCCTACCACCTCCTAGGCACAGATCAAGGTGTGAGGACCCCAGGGGGCACAAGAAAGCAAGTTCTTGCTGCTGTGACGCTCCAGCCTGCAGACACAGGCCGCGAACAAAGGACACAGAGCGAACCCCTGGATGGGGACGCTTCACCCCAGGGACTTGACAGGGGCGGTGGGGTCTGAGAGGAGCAGGGAAGGCAGTCTTCCCCAGGGAGTGGTAATGACTCTTGCTGTGCTCAGAGGCCTGGGGCAGGGCCTGCCAGGTCGCCGCCCTGGGGCTGACGTTCTGGGTATTCTACTGAATGTAACCAGAGGAACCGTGGGGGCCCGAAGACAGGGCAGTCCCGAGGTCATGGGTCAGGCAGTCTTGTCCAAGGTGGGGGGCAGGACTAGGTTCTTGGTCTTCAGCCTTGGTGCAGTTCTCACCAGCCTTCCCCTGGACTGTCTCCTGAGTGGGGCCCCCACTTGCTTCCATGGCCCCGCTGTGTGGGGACTGAACGGGTAGCAACTGCTTGGAGATGTGCCGACTGGTGGCCTACGGAATGTCCCCTCTTGGACCGGGCAGATTCCAGTAGGAGGGCAGGGCATTTCTCAGAACTGCCGGGTGCCTCTTGCCCGATCATGGTTGGGCTGGTAGCTGGACTCCTGTGTTTTTTTGTTCCTGTGAGGCTGCACAGAGGGGGCCATGGCCCAGGCTCGGACATGCCCCATTGGCTTGCCCCTGAGGGCTGTAGGGCCAGGGTGGGTGCTGCAGGCTGGGACTCCTGTCCCAGAGGAGGGGCGGCTGGAGGCCATTAGATGAACTCCAACAGGAGGTCAAGAAGAGGGACCTGTCCTTTTTCCCTTAGACTTTGCGTGGGGCACATCATGTGAAGGAGGCCATGGGTCCAACGGCCCTTTTCCCCTCCCCGGCCTGTCAGGCATTCTCCACTGCAGGAGAGGGAAGGGTGAGGGCCTCGGGAGGGTTGTCGCCAGAGGGCATGCACAGAGTCTGTGACCCAGGAGAGCTCCTGAGAGTGAGGGAAAGGCTTCAAACAGCGTGAATGAGTCAATTTCACACCTGCAGCGTTCTTAGTCACTAAGGAGACGGAGAAGGACTCCAGTAATCCCAGAGGCCAATGCCTCTTCATTGTTGGTGCACAGCCGCAGGCCATTTACTGTAAGGACGTCGTGGATATCGAGCAGTTCTCCACGGTGAGAGGCATCTACCTGGACACCACTGACGACGCGTTTTACAGTCAGTTTGCTACGGGCTGTGTCTCCATCCCCTGGCAGAACGAGGTACTGCTGGTTTATCCTGGGTACGGCGCCCCGAGAGTTGTGCATGCCCGTGTGCATGTGTGTGCATGCGTGTGTGCACACATGTGTGTCGATGCTGTCCCAGTCCCTGCACGGGAGAGGGAAAGTTCACCATCCTGGGTCCCACTTTTGAAGTGGGACTGGCTGGCACCCGTCTCTTACCAGCTCTGGGGGTGCACTGGGAGGGAGGAGGAGGAGGCTGCGTTCCCCGTGCCCTGAGCTGGGTATAGGGCGGAACGTGGTGGATTGACCTCGTGGTGTCTCTCTCCTTCTCTGTTCTCCTCTTACGTGGACACAGATGATCGAATCGGGTTGTTTTAAGGACATCAATGATGTGGAGCCTGAAGAAAATATGGTGTTGAATGTAGAAGAGAAAACACGATACCCGGTTTCCAAAACTAAGAGAAGCTTCTTCTACAGACTCTTCAGGAGAGGGGTAAGGGTAACATTCTGTTATGTCGGGGTTTTTTTAATGGGAAGTGTTCAAAGAAGAGAAATATTTCACCAAGGTAAAAACTTTCTTTTCTCAGCTTTCTTATTAAGACATTTCACATAATTTAAGAGCTCTCGCCCTATGGTGCGATTTGAGCCCCACCAGAAAAATCCTCACTATGTTGTTTGCTTTCGGTATGAAGACCCTGTTCTGACACGGAAAGGACAAACAGCTCTGGGGGTCGCGTAGACCGGTCATGAGCAACTGGGTCATGTCGATCGCCGCCCTCCCGCTCCTCTTGGCTGCTGCCCCGTCGCAGGCCTGCTCTCGCACGGAACGTGGAAGCAGGAGGCTTAGCATGTTTTTCCTAGTGAACTGTCTTTCCCTACAAGAGTGCGTCGCCCTGCTTCATACCCTGTGGTTGTCCATTAACGTTCAGTCCATCTTTGTTCAGTATGAAAAGCAAGCCTTAGGCGGGGAAGGTCTGTGAGGGTGCGTCCACCGGGACCATACTTCCTTGGAGAACAGGGTCCAGGTGTGGGTTCGCACCTGGGTCTCCCTGGCAGCCGGGCTCTCCGTGCTCAGGAAGTCCTGCCCGGACATGCTCTGTGAAGGCCCGACCTGTGCAGGGGGCACCGGATGGGGACTCCACAGCCGTGGATGGCATGCTGCCAGCTGAGCCACGTGGCACCACTGCCCTCGTTCCCTGAAGCACTCAGCTCAGGTCCTGTTATCGTGTTGAGTGTGCAGCAGAGAAAGCGAATCTGAGACACTGTGTGTGTGTGTGTGTGTGTGTGTGTGCGTGTGCATGTGAGCTGAGCATCCTCTGAACTGTGGGGGGCGTGAGAGGAAGTGTGGAAGTCAGCCTTAGTGTCAGTGTCCCCGCCCCGTGGCTGTCACCTCTTGCGTCCACTGCCGGGGAGCAGAGCAGGCGCACGTTGGCTGAGTGACTGACCCCGCGCTCTGCCATGTTCCAGGGCTGCATTAGCAGTGGCCCCAGCGAGAAGGAAGAGCTGCCCACCAGTGTGTGACCACAGCCACAGAGCCCGACCCCATGCCGAGGAGCCCACGCTCAGCGTTCCGTCCTGTCCGGAGCCGCAATAAATATGTGTCACAGCCTAACATGGGCCACGTGCGTCTGCAGATTTCTGTGTTCATACCTGAGTCGTGTTGGCACCAGAGCTGGCCTGTAGGAAAGGGCACTTGAGGACCGCCCCGGTACCCAGAAGCCCCCGGTGTGGACATCGAGTGGCGGGGGCTCAAGTCCCACATGTGCCCACAGAGGTGGGGAGGAGTAGGCTGGGGCATCAGCCTAACAGTGTCCAGGGCCACGAGTCCTGTTCCTCTCCCTAGAGCGTCCTCCGGTGCCCAGCGTGGTAGGAGGCAGGAAGGTTCCTGCTTTCCCCAGAAGGTCTTGGTCCGTTTGCATCCACACTGACATCTGCTCACTTACCGAGATTCTCGTGGGTGAGGTGTGCGTGTTCGTGTGTGTATATCTTTGTGGCACTCCTGGGCACGGGCTGAGAGAGGGTGTGTGCAGGACCCCAAGCCAGGGCTTGGCTGTTGGTAGCCTGGGGGTCTGTGTGGCGCCTCCCGGCCTGAAGCACAGGGGAAGATGGGGCTGGGAGCCCCCTGTGCTTGGGCTGGGGGCGAGGAGCCCCCCTCCGGCCCTGGTGGGTGCTTAGCAGTTTAGGAGCTCGCTTCCCAGAAAGGCTAAGGGATGCTGGGGTTCCGGGGTCAGTAACTCTTTCCCTCAGCCAGGGCTGCCAGAAGAGGAAGGTGGTGGGAATGTGGGCTCTGTTGCCTAGGGAGGGGTGTTGGCACCCGCAGACCTTGTGAAGACCGGGGGTGTGGTCTGTAGATTCTGTGGGCAGATGGCCCTGAGGTGTAGAACCTAAGCTTCTCCTGAATCTGTGTGTACGAGGCCTGCAGCAGGGGTGGGGTGAGAAGCTAGTCCTCTGCAACTTTCACCGAACAGCAAGGACTTGGTCTGGATCGGAGACCCCACCATACTGCTGTGTGCTGGAGAGTGAGCCAGGGTCAACCACGTGCCTGGGTTCAGTGTTGCTATCCTGCAGCCGCAAGTCCCCAGCCATGTGAACCCAGATGGCGCTTCCGGGAGTGCCAGTGTCGTCTGCACGCATGCTCTGGTCTGTCTGGAGGGCAGCAGTGCTGGGGCCAGGCTCTTCAGGGAAGGCACCCTGGGTCGTGCCCTTTGAGACCAACAGAAGTTGATCCTCAGCTTGCTCTGTACCCGGGTGGGGAGAGGGAAGAGTGACCTTGGGGCTCGGGCCTATATTTTAGGGATGGCTTCTCTTCTGATGGGGGCCTCATCTCAGTTTGAAGACAGCAGGAGGTGGGGACGGAGACCCAAAGCCTTTGGCAAGCATTTGGTAAAACATCTGGTATGTGCTACCCGCTCAGTAAGTCTGTCGGGAATTGTGGAAAATTAATATATGCTCACCCTGAGCAATGCAGGCAGGTTTAAAGAAAATAGAAATCACCTGTATTCCTACCACCTGCTTATATTCGAAGACTTTTCAGACCTTCTGTTACCAGTGTGGACACGGGGGCAGTGGTGCGCTTGTCTGCCCGGTCCCTGCCCGGTCACCACGGGGTGGAGGGCCCTGGCTGAGAAGGAGCCTGGGGGGCCCATCTGTGCCCACAGGGCACAGCTCCAGGAACCAGTGAAAGCCTTTGCCACCCCCCGCAGGGCTTTTTTCTGCTTAAGCTAGTCTGAGTTGAGTGCCCCTGTGCTCAAGGGAAGCATCCTAAGACAGTGAATCTGGGGAAGGTTTTACAAGCTGGCACCTTCATGTATTGATCTTTCATTGTCTTCCCCCTCTGGTTGGAAGCAAGCACATATTTTTTAAGGAGAATTTTGAAATTAAAGCGTACACAATGAAAAATTCATCTTTAGTATCAGCGATTATCCAAAGATAATCCCTATCAGCATTTTATTCTATATGTAATCTGTATTTATTTATTTCTTGCCATTTCATTTATTTTTTTTAAAGGTTTATTTATTTATTTATTTGACGAGAGCGAGAGAGATCACAAGTAGGCAGAGAGGCAGGCAGAGAGAGAGGGGGAAGCAGGCTCCCTGCTGAGCAGAGAGCCCGATGTGGGGCTCGATCCCAGGACCTTGAGATCATGACCAGAGCTGAAGGTAGAGGCTTAACCCACTGAGCCACCCAGGCACCCCATATTTCTTGCCATTTTGTTTAAATATATCTGTCTCCTTAATCTTTTACTGCACATTTAGGACAACAGTTATCAAACAATCCAAACAATTGTTGCTTCCAGCTTCCTTGTTATTAGAAACACCCATGGGATAGACAGCCCTGTACCTACATGTTTGTGCACATCCGTGATAATATTTTTAGGGTAGATTCGTAGCAGGGAATCCCTTGGTTAAAATGTATGAACAGGGGTGCCTGGGGGGCTCAGTCGGTGAAGCGTCTGCCTTGATCCCCGGTCATCATCTCAGGGTCCTGGGATCGAGCCCCACATCATGCTCCCTGCTTAGCGGTGGGTCTCCTCCCTCTTGTTCTCTCTCTGTGACATCTCTTGCTCTTGCTTTCTCTCAAATAAATAAATGAAATCTTAAAAAAAAAAAAAAGAAGTGTATAAACAGTTGGCGTAAACCCTATGAGAAAGAGCTAAAGGGATTAAAAGTGGCTCTGTCTGGCAGGCGTTTCCCCTGGGATGGGCAGCAGTGGGCGGAAGGAGAGCTCTTGTCCATAGCACTGTGTCTGACTTGTTCTTTTTGACCATGTCTGTGTATTATTAAGATAAAAATAAATATTGCATTATGAAAATTGTTTGTTTCCCAAAATAAAGCACAATTACACTCTAAAAAAGATGTGTGGGCATTTTAAAAGAATATATGTTACATACTCATGTGAACAAATTACCCTTCTGAAAAAAAATTTTTTTAAAGATTTTATTTATTTATTTGACAGAGATCACAAGTAGGCAGAGCAGTAGGCAGAGAGGGAGGGAAGAAGAGAGAGGGGGAAGCAGGCTCCCCACTGAGCAGAGAGCCCGATGCGGGGCTCGATCCCAGGACCCTGAGATTATGACCTGAGCCGAAGGCAGAGGCTTAACCCACTGAGCCACCCAGGCGCCCCTACCCTTCTGAAAAATTTAAAAAATTTCCTCTCCTACCAAAAATGTCTAACAGCTCCCTGTTAGTTTCACCAAAAGCTAGATTTTTGTCTTGGTGAAGAGTTTCATTAGAAACAAAGAGTTTCTTTTTCTTTCTTTTTCCTGTGGTAAAATATACATAAAATTTACCCTTTTAACATTGTTAAGTGTCCAGTTCAGTGGCATTAAGTACATTGATGTGGCAGTGCAGCCGTCCCCACCATCTGTCATCTTATGAATCTGACACTCTGTCCTCCCTGAACACTAACTGTCCATTCTCCCCCAGGCCCCTGGCACCCACCATCTCCTTTCTGTCTCTTTCTGACTTCCCCCAGGAACCTTCTATAAATGGAATCATATAGTATTTGTTCTTCCGTGACTGGCTTATTTCACACAGCGTAATGTCCCCAAGGTTCCTCCGTGTTCTAGCAGGCATCAGGATCCCCTTCCTGTTAAAGGCTGGCCCACATTCTGCCATGTGGATGGACCCTGCTGTGTCTCATCTGTTCATCTGCTGACAGGCCCTCAGCTGTCGTGAGTCATGCTGCTGTATGCAGTATAGCAATACCTCTTTGAGACCCTGCTTCCAGTTCTCTCAGGTAAAGACCCAGAAGTGGAATTGCTGGGTCGTACGGGAGTTCCATTTTTAGTTATTTGAGGAAATGCCATACTGTTCCCCAGAGCGGCTGCAGCAGCTTGCACTCCCAACACCGGGCAAGCTTCCCATTTCCCCATGTCTTCCTGAACGTGTCATTTCTAATGGCTCCTTGGCATTGTTCTAATACATAAGGTACAAAGGCTTTTACCCCCGCCTTGTTGTTGGACGTCGACGTTGTTTCATCTTTTCGATATTAACATTGCTTCAGTAACATTTTTGGGCCTCCATCTTTGAATGCCTATCTAATAATGTCGTCCCCAGAGCAGCCCTCCTAAGGCCATGCTAAGTCAGGTGGTTTGTGTCCTTACATCTTTTGATGGGTGCTGCCAAGTTATTCTTCAGGAAAGTAATTCAGGATTTGTCATAACTAGCAGTTTTTGGAAGTCCTGTTTCCATGTGTCCTTACCAGTCCCCGTGAGCACGCTCTCTAGCTTTGCTCGCCCTCTTAGGCTCCTACTGAACCTCAAGTGTGCTGTTCTTGACTTTGCTGACTCAAAACTTGCTGTGAGCACTCACCTCAGCTGCATCGTCAAGGTCAGGACACAGGGATCCGAACACAGCATGGGATCGCGTGCCGCCTCCCCTCCTGGGTCTGTGGTTTCCTGTCTAGGGAGCAAGGCATGTGGAGTGAGAAAGATTTCCCTTTAACTCATTCTCTGAAGTCTTAAGATTCCCTTCTCTTATATCCCGACTCTAAATTGAGCCCATCTCAGAGGCCTTCTGCTCAACCAGGCTCTGGCCCCTTTCTCTTCGACTTCCATGTGTTATTCTTTCTTTCTTTCTTTCTTTCTTTTTTTTTTTTAAATTTACTTGACAGACAGAGATCACAAGTAGGCAGAGAGGCAGTCAGAGAGAGAGGAGGAAGCAGGTTCCCAGCTGAGCAGAGCGCCTGATGCAGGTCGATCCCAGGACCCTGAGATCATGACCTGAGCTGAACGCAGAGGCTTTAACCCACTGAGCCACCCAGGCGCCCAGCCGTGTGTTATTCCTCTTAACTACAGGTAGCTGAGTATTTAACTGAAGTTCTCTGAACACTCTTCTTTATCATCAGGACGCATTTCTTCCCCTTCTCTGTGGGAGAGGGAGCCCATTGGAGAGCCCACTCTGTGCCCTGGGGGTGGGTCTGCTTGTTCTGTGTCATGGCCCTTCAGCTCCTGAAGGCACGGTTTTAAATAGGACGTGGAATTTCCAATGTTGATCATCTAATAACGGGACAACTGGATGTCAGAGGTTTTGCTCAGGAAAGAACAGAGCTATCCTAGCGGAAGGAGAATGACACCCCATGTAGACCTTGCTTATTAACACAGCAGTCAATGCCA